CTACAATGCGGTGGCCATAAAAAACCTGATAATAGTATGCATTGTATGGACTTACCTTTTTGTAACATGCTAGCGTAATAAAGAAATATCACAGTTTTCACTGTAATTATTCATTTAGAAGATTCAACGCTATTTGCGCTTTATAATTATAGGCCGAGGGGGCGCCTCCGGCGTAGTGGTTAGCATCCATACCTCTCACGCCAAAGTCTCGAGTTCAAATTTCACCCCCGGACAAGCCACGAATGACTCAAGAGCGTTAAAGAGACTATAATTTAAAAAAAAAATGGGCCGAACATTAGGGACGTCAATTTGAGATGAGTTCTTAATTAAGGCCTTAATTAAGAACTTTATTTGATAACTTTGTATTGGTGTTGGTAAAACCATTCACGTTGACGACGACTGCAACTCTTAACTCCTATAGGAAAACGCCATAAGTAAATGTCAGTTTATTCGTGAGGCATACCACATCGTTTCTATTTTCTTCTTAATAAAGGACGGGTCGCAACCAGAGTTGCGACCTATCACAATCACGATCATCAAACAGCTGATGGTAGTAACGCTTTGTACATTCCTATCAATTTGCTCGTCGAAGCTCTCTCCATGACCATGCATCAAGTTGACGAAAGAAGTAAAAAGCAACTGGTAAATGTCGTCTTCTGTTGTGATCCATCACCGATCTGGTCATTCCTGATAATCACGACACTCATCTGTGCTCGTTTTGAAGCAGTTGCTGCTTTGCTTGCATATGTGAGTGTGTTGGTGAGTGAGCCCAACAGCTTCCGTTTTATGTTGCCTGCTTTGTTTGTAACTCACACTGTCGCGCCTGCCGAGACGAACTTGGAGTGCGTAGGCATTGTTTTCATTTTCTTCTGTCGTTTCGCTTTTTCTCATGATCGTACTGCAGAAGTCTTCACTGTTTTCGTAGTGCTTTTCATTATCAGCAGCGAGTGTAACGGTTTGCTTGTGAGCAGCGACCATTACTGGTGATTGTTGTTTGCCATGGCTCTAGCTCTCACTGCGTGACAAAACGATCTGTCAGCGATAGTCGGTTGATGCGAAGACGAGTGTCACGTGAGTGTTATGATATTTTGCATCACTGGTCGCAACGGTACACACGCTATTTCTAAACAACCCATACCAACCATACTCATATCCGTCAAAAGTAGATCAACCAAAAATTGAGTAAACAAAGTTGGGACTGATAAGATGACGAATGGACAACATCGTCCTAGATTCGAACAATGTAATCTTGTCAATTTCAATATTGTTTACTCAATTTTGAGTAGCTCTACTTTTGACGGATATGAGTAAATCCTACTCAAATTTGGGTTGCTTAGAAATAGCGTGAAAACAAACTAAAAGGCAAATGAATCTGACTCATATTTGAGTACCGTTCACTCATATTTGCAAAAGCGTAGGCCACTCATAGAATTAGTAAATTTTTATCAAATATGAATACATTTCACTCATTTTTGAGTGATATTTACTCATATATGAGTGACATAACTCATATTTGAGTAAAAATTTACTCTTTTTGCTTAAATATGAGTGATGTCACACGTATATGAGTAAATGTCACGAAAAATTCGATAAACTATCAAGCCCAACAATGCATTAGGTACTAAGTTAACATTGATCGATTATTGGCTACATAACTGTTATTTGCCGTGTTTGCCATATTAGATGATAGATATTAGCTTATTTTATCGAACTATGTGCTGAAAATAGCTGGAAGTGTCTATAAATGGCCGTGGGGATGCAAAGAGAAAATCTACGAAGAGAATCGGTCAATGTTACTTAAGAGCTAATGCATTGTTCGGCTTGCTAAGTTCGTTATATTGTGTGGTCATAAGCAGGGCTCTACATTTTCGAAGCTCTAAAATGACCTCGTGTTTTGTTTCTCTCATACAAACGTGTTCAACGCTTCATTTATATAACGCCTAGCTAGACTATCAGCAAAAAATGATAATGAAAAAGAAGCACACTTAGAAGGAAATGCTAGCTGTGGATCTTCTCGTCATTGCTTTGCTCATCGCTTTCAATGTAAAGCAAACCCCACACGTATCACTATATTGACGCGAAGGGGAATTATTGACATTATTATTGATGATGTGAATACAGAAGTATTGTCAATACCGATGTATTGACGTCAATATTGAATGTATTGACAATACGATTATTGTCAATAAAAGCAAACGTGTACGGTCCACATAAGTAATGTCGATTTTCTAGTTAAACGAAACCTCATTATGGCTTTCAATCCCCTTTCACGAACACTCTATCACCACTCTTTCAATTTGCTTCAAATGCGTTATGTCCCGTTTTCGTTAATTTTTTTTAGATAAATATGTGGATGGAAGATAAATTAAACATATTACGTGTAATCTTCAAGTGTTTTCACGTGAGAAATGCTTTAAATGTGTTATTTCATTTTCCGTCATATACGTCATGAAACCTCTGTTGATGTGTTTCATGAAAGAGAAAACTATCAAAGTCGAGCGCTCTTTCGCTCATCCGTTTCACCGAAGCTTGAAGGAAGACCAATGGAGCGACGGGAGAAAGAGAGACAAGCGATTGAACATTTGTTTGTGCACGCCGACTGAGGTACTAGAATGCTGCGAAGCTGTTCGACTTTAACAGAAAAAGAAAGCCAGCAGTCTCTTCGTCGTATCGATTTGGTCGATTGAAGCTGATATTGTGACGCCCTGGTCATAAGTAAAGAGCCTAAATTTATAAAGAGGTGACATATCATTTTCAATTTGAACAATCGATTGTCTGTCAAAGTCATAGGAAAAGTCATTCCAATCGAGCAGAAGACCTGTCAAATGGATAAGATGTCGTCTCTTTATAAATTCAGGCTCTTTTGTCATAAGATGTTATATTTGGTTTTCATTTTGATTCTAAAAGCATCTTGATTTATGTTATCTGGATCAAACGGAAAGAAAGCACTGTCTATTTCTTCCTCATGAGTTCTTACGAGAGAAGTGAAGTGATGACAACAATGTGGTTACGTATGAATGATACGGAGTGAAAAAGAAGCGCGATTTCGCATGCCGAACCTTTGTAGATCGAGGTTCATTTTCGATAGGACGAAGTTGCATCCATTTATAGGCCCAAGTTGAGTACAGTAGACCGACATTCCATTCACGTACCTGGAAAGTTTTCATGTTAAAATGGTGAGTTTTACAATTTGCAGTCGTGCCTAATTAATATTCAAATAATAAGAATATCTAAACTTGCATATTCACAGTGAAATATCGAGTGCAGCTCAATTATTACATAAGATACCCCATACGGCATAAAACGCAATTGATGGCTTCATATAAGGCCGAGGTTAGGGACGTATACCCTATATAATATTTTTAACTCTTCATTTGTTCCAAATTCAAATTGAATTACATTTCATTCTAATCTAGGTGTTCCAGCTACTACAGATACTTACCAGTCTTATACCCCGGACAGACTAGGACTTATATCATGTAATATAGGCTGTCTTGCAATGAACACTCATACATCTAGTTTTGACTGGAAATCCAATGCATGAGTGCTCATTGCAAGACAGCCTATATTACATGATATAAGCCATAGTCTGTCCAGGGTATTACACGCAGAGAAAACTATCATCGAAACAAGCATATTTGAGGTAAATTTAAACGTTAACTCAGTTTGTTTTAGAAGTTTTATTTTGGAAATTATTTTAGTTTGCAAATAAAAGTGGGCAAGTTGGATTCCGTCAACCGATCCGTATTAATGAACGATTGATCGCTACTTAGCTGGAATGACCACACATGATCAGTTTCTTCATATCGGGTGCGAAAATAGGCTGATCCTAGAACGATATGCTGACATGTCGAATATTCCTATCCGATCAATTGTCGCACAAATAAATCGGTCACGGTCACGGTTTTCGAACAACAACGCGGTGGTACCCACACCTTCGATCTTCAATTTAGTTGTCATCACGTGCGTTTCAGTTTGTGCGCGCCAATCGTCTGTGAAAGAGAGCATCACATTCTCTCAGTAGTGCTCTCCTGAAAACCACGCGTTCAAGTTCAAAACCGTTCCACAAACACCAAGCGTCTCCTCATCAACAAGTTGTGGCGTCGCTCACAGAGAGAAAGAGCGGGCGCCGCAATGAGAGAGCCTTTCAACCAGGATCGATTATTGTACCGGCCGTCAAACTCACTGCACTGATAGTCTAGCTAGTAGTAGTCCGGTACTCGTCGCGAAAAGTTTGCAAGATACTTCGCTCCTCCTCGCAGCTGCGCTTGTGAGAAATTATTTTTCATTATTTATCAACTAGTTTGAAACATTAACACAGACATCGAGGGCACATTCCTTGCAATTAAAACATATTTCATGTCGGAAAGAACCGGTCGGCCAGACTGAGTCTGTCTCGTTTTGGAAAATAGAATAAGGATTGATTAATCTCGTTAATGCGGTTCGTTCTTTGTGTTCGCCCCAAGTGAAGTTATTTTGAACTGTGAAGATTAAGGGCGATAGCGAGTGACGCCTGTAGAAAGCAGCGAGCGGCGAGGAGCGGTGCAGACCACATTATAGTATACATCAGAAGAACGACCAGTGATAAGAACGGACGGACTCAAATATAGAGAGTTCCTATCGATCGGGGAACTGTAGTCCTCGTGAAGCTTCCAGACAGTGAAAAACATCCTCTTTTGGTTCAGTTGTGCGTGCTGCATTCCGTCCACTGATCTGTTATCAATAAATCGCGCGATTCCCTGATAATAAATTAGCAGTGGACATTGCTAAATCCGCTCGTCAGTTTCCATAGCAACACGAATAGGTGGTGTGGTCTCGGTTCAAAATCCGCCCTGTTGGCCAATTTGTTTTGTTTATGTTGTGCTTAGCCGAAAATAGACTAGATATTGGTAAACTGCACTAGAGGTGGCCGGCAACAAGCTGCATCGATGCAATTTTGTTGCTGCTGGTGAAAAGCGCCGCGACTCGACAAGAGAGAAAGTATTGCGAGACGCGACCGACAAACACCGCTTTTTTGCTCGGAGCAATGAGCGGAGACGAGTCGAAAAAGGATGTCTCACAGGTGGAGAATGGGACCGTGCAGCAGCAGCAAAATGGGGTGGCAAAGATGCACATGCAGTCGGTGCCGGGGGACCTGAAGCAGATCGTGCTCGATGGACTGGAGAAGAAGGGCGACCGAGGTGTCTGGTTGTGGTGAGTACTGGTCGAATACATAGTAGGCGATGGAAGGAAGTAGCAGTCGCGCACATGTTCACTTGGTCAAGCAAGCGTTTAGTTTAGCAGCCGAGCAACCGCAGCGATTTTATTTTTTTTCGTTTAGTACAAAGCGTGTCTTTTCGGTGGAAAATCACGGGAACGGGACAGGGGAAGAAACCAGAACGGCGAAAGTGTAAATTTAGAACGGAAAGTGGCGTGCTGAAGAAATTAGTGTGAGAAAACGCGTGAGTGAATGGGTTTTTGGCGAGAGGTGCATGACGTGGTGGGGCGGGTGCGATACGGTCGGGGAACCCCAGTAATCGACCCAAACCGGTGGGAGCAACATTGCGCCTGGTTGACGATGTGTTCGTGGTGCACAAGGTCATGGTTTAATTATATTTTTTTGATTTTTTTATGTCGTCTACCAACTGTCCCGTTCCACGGGGAAGAATTTCTAATTGACTGCAGCTTAAACCGTGATTTTTTGATACGTGCATTTTGACTGTTTATAACGAAACGGACCATATATTTTTTTATTTTGACTTTGTCATGCAACTTTTAAGGGCATTTTTTGATTACCAAACGTTTCTAGTCAATGTGTTCGAAGCCTCCAACTGAGTTTTGAAATGTATGAAAGAAAAGTAAACAAACATTCGTTTCTGTTTATTCGCTTCATCTCGCCGAAAGTTTGTGAAACGTGGTTGTCGTCCTGCCAGTTGTTACGTTGTTGTGGTGCGCGTTTGCTCACTAAAAATACAATTGAATGATTGCTCAAATTCGGACAACAAATCATATATGTACTTCTGGAAGTGAATACACCTCTATGTAACTGATAATAAAACTGTTTACGTTACCGAGGATTATTGCAATTCGTCATCTGAATTTTAATGAGCCAACAATGCGAAAAGATTACGGGCAAGTGCGAAGAAGGTTAGCAGGCAACTACACGTCTGCACAGTGGTTTAACAGTCTGTTTTCATGCTCTTAATTAATAGCACCATAAAAACCTGGATTTAAAGTGATGACGTCTTCAGTAAAGTTGAAGGACATTAGACTGTTGCAAAACTTGAATTTTTCGCTCCACAGTACTTAAACGGTTCCGAATCGGGCCCAAATTAGCCTCGCAAAATTTGAACTAATTTATGTGAGAAACTGACTTGGCACTAGGGTTGTAGTGTCGGTAATACCGATACCGGTTTTACCCAAGGGGTATTCAACTCTGTACACCGTAACCTGTACCGAAAGCTGCATCAAGCGCTGTGCCGAACTGTACCAATCAAGGTTTCAATATCTCATGAGTGTGGCAACCCTAAAGTTATAATGACTTTTTGAGATTGCGTTTACATTTTCAATTTATTTGATGGTTTATGGCAAACATTAAGCTTCATTCTCATTTGAACGAGTGGGCGGGCAGTGGAAGAGGAATTGGAAGTAATCCAACCCATAGGGTGTTCTAGCAAATTTGATCCATACAAAAGAAACGTGTGTAGAATCGATAGTTTAACCTGATTGATGGTTGACGGAATTTCATCCAACTGCCTGTTAAATGCTCCCCAACAAAATCAAAACCAGAATTGAACCCCACCCTAGAAGCAACATCCTTGAATCAGTTCGTTTGATTGTATCGCTGATTATGATGTCTCCTACCATCACCCAATCACACACGTTCAAGCTTAACAAGTTCACGATCTTATGTAGTTGTGTGCCTTCCGCCATGTACAACTAATGAAAACCAATGACGCTTCACTGCAGATCAGTCATACTTCGGAAATGGTTTGTGATCAAGATAAGCTTCGCATATGCAGTTCTACTACAGACACGACCCTCTGGTTGTTGATGCTCATCTGCATAGCCCATTGGCTCTTGTCGAACAGCAAGTTGCTTAGTGTCGTCATGTGGGAACCGTTGACCCCTCCAAAACCCCCTCTGCCGCGAATTAAACTTTAAAGATTGAGCGAGGCCTTACTGGTCTTACAAGAACTGTTCGGAAGGCAAACTAGTTCAACCCAAGGATGATGACAGAGATGCATCTGCAAAATGACCGGAGCGTTGATGATGGGTATGTGCTTGATGTTCAACTCACGGAATGGAATGGATTGTAATTGCAATGGTCTGTTCCTATTAATCCTATACTATTGCGCTAAGGCAGCCGTACATAGGTCCAGATCCAGTCCATACCCAATTGAAACCAATGACTGGCAAGAATATCTGAGGAAAAACACAGGAGAAAACGAGAAATTTCCATCACGGAAGACCCTTGGCAAGACCGGAGGAGTTGAACCTGCAAGACACCCCATCCCCTTTATTCTTTAGTCTGCATAACAAACTTGTAAAAACAATAATCCTCAACCGCCACAATTACGGCGTCGTTCAGAGGCCTTTCGTTTACACCGTATCGTCCAACTTACGGATCAGTTTGGCAGCATTTTTTTCTTCTTAAAATTAAATTCTTTTTGAATATAGGGTACAGCGCTACTTCGTCGTAATCGCCCATTTCCGTTCTATCGAGCTGAAAAGATCAATAATATCAATGATTTCACCGTATGCAAATCAATAATAGGTTTGTTCAGATGTGTTATTTCATTAGCTACCGTATGCGTGATAATGTTTGCACCATTAAGCAATGTCAAACTTAAAAAAATTCTCAAAAATTTCGTTTTCGAATTTTTTTATTTATCCAAAGGGTGGATGTATCTCAGAGTCTTAAACTATGTTAATCATCGATCGAGTTTCCACTTGCTGCAATTACGGCCTCCAAACGCTTCCGGAATGCACGGCAGGTTCTAATAATGTAGTTTGGATCCATCTCCATGTACGGGTCAGTGTTTGTCTGAGGCTTGCTTTACTCGGGTGGCGTTTAGAATAGGCTTTGGTCTTAAAGACGCGCCATATTGAGTAGTCCAGCGGATTAGGATCGGGGCTGGATGGCGGCCACATATCCTTCGCCCAGAACGGAAGATGTTCCTGCAACCACTTCTGAGTGCGGTACGAGGTGTGGCACGGAGCCCCATCTTGTTGAAATACAACTTTGGTTTCGCACCGTACTGTTCTTTGATCTACGAAAGAACATACTTACTTAAAATCCCGATGTAGACCTCCGTGTTGACCTTGTCGCCTTCTGGAATGAACACCGGGTCCATTTTTTTTGCCATCGGAAGCCACCAATCCAAACACCATAACGCTAGCAGGATGCTTGGTCAGATACACGTTCTTGTGCTCGTCGGCCACGTCTTTTACCGGAAGAGAACTAATATACCGGTTGGTTCTGGAATTTGATACGGGATCGACGGTAAACTTGCTCTCGTCGGTGAACAGGATTACCGGATTTTTTCGCTTAAGGAAGTTCAAGATTTTCTTGCATCGATCGACTCGTAGCTCCCGGATGCGGTTGGTAATCATGTGAGTTTTTTTTTCCGTGCCCTCGACTTCGCCGGCTAATCTTCCTTTACGATTGCAAATCCTTATTGAACGCACTGGATTCACCCGAATCTTCCTTTTGATAGCAGCGATAACCCTCGGAACCCGAAATGACCTCGGACGACCTGTGGCCACCTTCGCGGATAGTTGTCCTTTCCTTTCTCGGTCTAAAACCCTTTTGACGGTCCACCGGAACACTCCCACGGCGATTGAAATGTCTTTTTGCGACATTTGCTCGTGGGACAAATCACGAATACGCTGCCACTTCGTCATGGTGCAACTGTCAAACTAAGTAAATCATTTTCTTTTATACACAGCCTACTACGGTATGAGCTATAGGTTACGTGCATGCAAAGAAAACCAAGGCATTGTATGCACAAGTGAAACGGGAACCTTATTTGTACGATGGTGCAAACATTATCACGCATACGGTACAACATAAATCCTATTAGAGCGCAATGTATGAATATTTACGCGCTTTGTTCTCAAAACAAAAGAAGCGCTCCTAGCGCATCCTCTTTTTCAACGTTTATCCGTAGGACGAAGAAAATCTAATGGCGTTTCAATGGGTTAGGACGGTTAGGACGAATTTAGAATCAAGAAGCAATATCAAATCCAACGGTACGTATGGAAAGGTGAATAAATTTAGAAGTCATCTTTGACAGAAATATTCCATTTTTTGTTCAAACCCGTTCAAAAAGAGAGGTAAAGCGGGGGTTGTGCTTAGTAGGACGCAAATTAGATCAAAAACCCTATTGCTATTTCTCGATTTTTTCATTAAGCTTACATGAAATGCTCTCATAGTGAACTTTCCTTTGGATCGAGCTTAGGATTCTGAAGTTCACAACCAAAAGTTGTTGCAGAAGTTCAGAAAAACGTGACCCATATAAATTTGGGCTGAAATCAAGTTTATCTCAGGAAAAAACATCTGAAACTTTCACTCTTTGAACACTTTGTGGGAATTTCTCGGGGAATTTGCTTTCAGCTCAGGACTTCAAAATTTTCGGACGTTTTTTACATTTGATCTTACTCAAAACAGTTAAGATCCATATTTATTCAATTAGAGTAAATTTTATTCACTTTGTTAAATTAATGCTACTCAGTTTTTGACATTTAGCAAACAAATACGAAACTGAGTCAAAGTTACTCACTTTAGAGTGAAATCAGACGACCGTGCCGATGGATGACGAAAGATCTTCGCTCGTTGAAAAGAACTAAGGCTCTGAACCATTTGGTGGATTATTTTAACTTTTCGTTAAAATTTGACACATGGAAAGTTATCGATAAACCCTGCTATCCGAGCGTGGTTCCTTCTGACAGACAAGAAGTTAAATTTTGACATCCTTGGCGAAAACCGGTCGATCAACAGCACAGGGATTTTCGAACATAGAAAATAACATTCGAAATGTCACTTTTAACCACGAGTTAAATTTAACTCGGCAAATGGTTCACAGCCTAAAAAGCCTGCTCTCAGAAGATTTACTAAATTCCGCACACTGCCGCTGAAATGCTACTAAAGGGTGATACGGTCAAAATTTGGTCAAGGGAAAACGCGTGTAAATCGGTGAAATCGTTTATTT